TTAGATAAAGCCATGATGAATGATACTACTGTAAGGGCTGCTGTAAGTCTAACTATGGTCTAACTTGTCACAATGACTAAGTATAATTAATATAAACTGTGAATTGTAGAGTTGAAGGTGGGACCACTTTTTCCTATAGTTTTGTTAAGCTAAGAGAGAATTAAGTGATAATTATTGCTGTATTGTTCTGTTCATAATCAGCAACACATGCAGTGCATGTACTCTCAATTTGAATTACAGGACATACCATATAGAGGTTTTATTTTGTTGGTATAAGTTTTTTGCAAATTTGTTCAGATTTGCCATTTGTTGGTATAATTTTTATGAATCTTACCTTTTGCAGCCATTTTTCCTAGTTTTCCATACCTTTGTGGAATTTAATGTTGTGCATTCAATGAAAACACGGAAATAGCGAAATTTAGTAAAGTATACTCCTACAGTATGATGTTAGATTTGAAAGTATTGAAAACCTGTTAAAGTAAAACTTTGATTTAGTGGGAAAATTACAAGTGACAAATTGCAAATCAGTTATTTGCGTTAAAAGTCTCAATTTTGGTCTAGTATGTTATTGATTTGTCTTTAACACACTTTTCAAGTACTGGTACAAGAATATATAGCAGTTTGACAGTCAATAACTGCTGTAACTGCCAATGCTGAGCCTGACTTTGACTATATACCATACACTATTGTACAAATGTTAACAAACCAGATAAGCTTCAGGTGTTTAGTGTTACTTGATATACTGTATACCAGTTTATTTTTGTGGTGAAAAAATTTTGCGAATCTTGCATTTCTAAGATTTCGCCAAATTAATTTTCATGAATAGCTTGCAGACTGCACCACATGGCAATAGAGATGCAGAATTTCATGATGGAAAAGTTTCACAACGGAGTAAAAATGCAAAATTTGCAAAAATATTTCACTGCGGTAATAAACCGGTATATGGTGTGTGGCTGTTAGTTGATTAGAACCTATTGGTTTATCTACAACCTCATTTATCCAGTGATTCTCAGCATCTGTGCTTTATCTATTTACTGGTCAGGTAATACTTTGGTGAATTTAGTGCATTGATGAACATTAAGTCATTGTATTTTAGCCTAAAAATTGCATCAGCATGGGGGGCAGTGGGTGGGCTTATTGAATATTCATAAAATGTACATGAAAATATTCAAAAATAAGAGTAGAAACATTGTGTGCATGTAAAGAAGTGCATCTAATATTTTGGAGAACTAATAAAATACTAAAACCACTGCATATATTAGTAAGTAAATCCTTCCAAACTACTATTGCTATTCATTATTGTTGTTAGTCTTGTTTTGATAGAAAGTCACAAACTGTTTTCACTTCTTCTCCAGTGATACTATACTGAGCTCTTGCTTGTATCTCCGTACCTCTGAAATCAATAAATACGTCTATATCTCTCTCATCTCTTGGTACATTATCAGGATTAGGAACATCAAGTAATAGCTGGCCAATCTCACGTACTTTTAGTTTACCTTTTTTATCTACTACATACTGAACTCTATCAACTGAGGTGCAGTATACAGAAATACTAACTTGAGTGTAGCTTTGAGAACGAGGT